CACTATCCATTTAGTATAAAATCATTCTTAGCGACACCAAAAATAAATGTATTGATTTTTTAAGATGATTTCAGTATGATTTTTCCATTATTTTTCTTTATAGGAAAATTCGGTTTTTACGKWGTAGGRCATTTTGAAAGTATCATAACATTTTCACTCAGATCAGAAACGCGTTRTTCAAACAAGTCATTTTTTATAAATAAATATTTCAGAAACTAATCACCTAGTCTCTGCACACTCTGTTCGTTATTATTATTTTGGTTATTTCTTTTTTTCATACTGTTGTATACCTACTTTTGTATTTACAAAATAATAATTTAAAAAAAAAATCATGATCATAACACATTTCAAAACAAAAACTGTCCGTAGAAAAGAAAATTAATTGTTGTTTAGTTGCGTAACAAAATACAAATATTTATCTCGCTATACGCTCTGGTTATGGATGGTAATTAAATCCCCCTAGTGGCCTAGTGCTGTATTATATATTATATAGGTATGTGTGGTGATATATTATATTGTATTCTATGGCATAGTTAGTAGTTCAGCTACCAGTTGTTGTTTTATGTTTGATAATGAATTTTTCTTACGCTGTGACCGTTACATACTTTTCGGGCGGATAACCATCAGTGACATTCGGCGAGGCAGTAGCCAAGTACATTGGTGAATCATGTAACAATAGTGTTTATTACCCTCTGCGTCAGTGAATTGAAAAGTCCATGGACAAATATTTATCGAAATACGTGTTACGTATAATAATGAACTTGTTAGTTTCCCGAGTGCGTCCCGAAATTATCTTTTTTCAATGTTCCGAGTGGTTCAAAAATAAGGTAACGGCCAAGTGGCAACCCCCCCCCCCTGAAAAAATTTTGTACATTAAATGTACAATTTGTATTTTAAACGCAGTCTTAGTGCATCTCAGTGTATTTAGAGTTACCCAGGGCGCACCACGAGGAGGTGAACTGACTTCTGCAGACTTACGTCCCAAAAATATCTTGTGATTCTTGATAATATATGATAATATATTTTATTTTAGCTTTCACCTTTGAATTTGGGCGAGCGTACTAATTATTTTAAATGATTTTTT